GGGGGGTGGTTTGGCCCCTACGTGATGATTTACCGTCGAGATTTCCAACCAATTCTACTCCCCTTAGTGACACCATACCTCCTGCCATTTTAAGTTCTCTACTCAATGTTTACAAAAAATAGAGAGGTCGCCGAAAAGACCTCACTGAAATTTTTTTTAATCAAGAGAACTTTCTAATTTGAACGTACATTTCACTTCTTCTTTGTCTAAGTTTTAGCTTGAAAATCTTAACTTAGCGACTGCTACAGTGTTGACTACTGGGTCACTGATAATTTCTACCCAATAAAGTTTTGTTATTTTAAATGTAGGCCATCTCAGACTCTGCCAATCAAGAATATATCCCAGGTGGTTCTCTTCATATGGGTAAATAAATATTGATTTTACGACTAGCATGCGTGTGATATCAATATTGACAGACTCGCCATTGGGTATTCCTATATCGCTTGCACAATGTTCTGTTATGATCGTACACTTGGTGTTTTTCTACCGGGTAACAAATTGGAAACATGGATGCCTCCGGCTGCTTACAACATGTAATAGACGAAGCCGCAAGGTGTTCTGGCTTTCAATCGCTTCTCGGAATTCATTAATGACGGACGATTTTAAAAACAGAACAACTTCAACATCGAGTTCAGGTGGTACAAAATAGTTTCAGCACACCGATCGGAGTTGTAAATTCTTAATTGTCAGTCGACAGCAAGAAACCTTAAGCCACTATTTATTATTTTCTCTTTTTTTTTTCAGATACTACGTAACACGTTTGGAAAATGATGATTTTTCGTCAGGAAACGTTTATATTATTACTCACGTTTGAATTTTTCGCAATACAAAGTGGCTTTTCGCAAGAAATTACTGGTAAGTCAGTTTTTTCTATAACTCCTGTAATACAACATAGATTCACAAACTAATTAATATTCTCGTGGAAAACACTGAGGTGTATTAATTGAGTAACCGAGGAGTTACTGTTATACTGAAACTCTTTTCAGAATTCTACATGAAGAAAAGCAATTATCCGTCCCTTTGGATAAAAGAAATTTTTTCTTTCAGTATAATTAAAATGCGTAACCATTTGTTATTAGCCTAAAATAAATAGAACAAGAAACTTTATTTGAAGCTTTCAAAAGCATCAAGGTGTTGCAAACAATTTTCGCCTGCAGGTAACATTAAACAAAGGTATGATACTCAAAGATGATTTTTCCTGTTTGACGTTATTTGATGTGCCTTATAAAATAATATTTGTGAAGGAGTCTTTTTCTTCACAATATATGTATGTTAATTGATTCTTAGTTTGTTAATGCAGCTGTTTTTTCCTTTACAACCATGTTATCTACTGTTTCGTAAATATCTAACAACAAAGACAAATGTTTTATTATTTTTTACCGTTAATTCAGTTCCAAACATATGCAGTGGTTTGCTGTGAGCCTAACTTACTGCCTGGCGAGTTCAAACTTTGCATCAATTTCATTTATAACATAGCCTTAGCAAAGCGCGCGTTCTGATTGGCTAATACGCACGATCCATTTGCCCGTGGGTTGCACGCTGACGTCAGTTTGCTTATTTGTACTTTATCTCGGCAATTTCTTTCATCGAATTTACCCCTTTTTGGAACATAATTCCTATATTCTTTCTCCTAAAATATGGAAAAATCTATTAATTCTTCTGGAGATGAGGAAGATAATTTCTGTGAGCTACCAAATTTCAAGCTCAAGTTTTTTGCCGGGCTTCCACGTAAGAGATTTGCTGAATTAAGTGAGCAGGAGTTGAGTCAGCTGGTTGAGAAGACACTCGGAGAAGACCAAGAAAACATCAAACTGGTCTGTATCAACCTTTCGAGGTTAGTAATGTAAAGCGGCAGTTTTAGAGAGAATTTTTCAGCGATTTGACGACAATAAAATTCAGCACAAGCTTTCATTGTATAACTTTTCTGGCGTCGAAAGCAATTTAGATGCTTTCGGCGAGCAAAACTTGTACATAAGATTTTTGACAAATTTCTGTTTTTAATTAAATCTTACATACGAAATTCTTCTGTCCCAAAACGTTGAAGAAAATAGTTTTACTGAGTTTAAATAAAGGACGTTTTATCAAATGTTTGTAGTCTCTGATGAATTATTTCAGTTCCCGGGTTTCAGTTTTGCTCGATTGCTCCATCGTAAATTGAACTCGTGAAGAAACGGCCGCTTGAATAAACAACTGCATCGTGCACAAATACAAGCTTATATTTCTAACATTTTTCTTTAAGCCTCGGTTTTCTGTTCATTTAAGCTTATTTTTACCATATAACGAAAGCAACAGAGATCATGTTTAAAAGCCACTCAGCCCTAGATACGCAACTTTAAGGCTTTTAAATTTAATAAGCTCATCGATTTAAAACGAAGTGGAAACGAAAACGTAACCCACAAACCTGCTATTAAAGAAGAGCATCTCAAACAGCTTAACTGAAGCCAGGGGTGCTTGTTCGCTTTCTTCCCCACTCTCGCTTTTAAGAAGTGTCCGGTTCCATATTGGTTTTTCTTTCCTTTGCCGAAGAGACCCTGAAGGAGAGAGAACTCAACCACCGAAAGCTTCAACCATGCACTATTGAAAATGTGCAGTTTGTCTTCACTGATTCTTCGGAAAACCCATCTAAATTTAACTAACTTTTGAGAAACGCTTTTCCCGACTACAATTTTCGTGTGTTGTCAGCTTGGTATTAAGGTTAACTGAGCAGTTTGACGTTGTTTGTTGGTCCGACATCGAGAAAAGGTAAACTAACTCACCGCGATCCAAGAAAAATTTTGATCTGTCGCTTTTTTAGATTTTTGAATGAATATTTTCGCGCGGTTTATCGTGCTTTTGTCTTCATGTAAGCAGGATGAGATTTAATAAATACTTCCATCCGATAGGAAAGATGTTAGAAGTTTAAATGCTATAAAAGAAATTGTAAGAGTGCAGCCTGCAACTATCGAGCTATGGATGCACCTGGGAGGTTTGCTAAGCACTCAAGAAGCTTGAGTCACACTCGGACGCTTCTTTCGTTGTTAGCAGCCTCCCGAGTGCATCCATAACTCGATAGTTGCACGCCGCACGCTTACCATTTCTTAATTATAAGAACGTCATTCATTTTTTGCTCCATTGTACCTGATATTCTTGACGTAATGATAAAATGGTCACAGTGCTTTGTAAAAGAAATCAGTGGGAACTCCGACAATTTTTTATTCGTGTCCTTTCGCGAGATAACATTAGGGAGTTTAAGAAGAAAAAAAACAGGACGGTGACGGAAACGGGAGCGTCGCTAAAAAAAGGTTTAATGGGTAGAACATTGGCTGTGTGTGTACATTATAATTCTCAGTACATTTCTTTGCGTTCCAGTGTAAAACAACAACGTGAAATGACCAAATTTTGCATTGTCTGGAGAACGTGAACCACGACGGCTAATTGCTTCAATTTTTAATTCAAATTTATCGTTGTGTCCCAGATTCAGTTTCGTGATAGTTTTGACAGTGATAGGCATGGGTCGCACTAGAGCGAATTCTGTTTGTTTTACCTAAAATTGGGTCAAAATTGCAGCTTTTCCTAATGCGACTCCTACGAGCAGAATTTGGAAAAATTTGCCAGTGGACCAAAAAGGTCAAAGACGCCGTAGTGTATGGGTGGGGCAGACAGATTTTTCCAAAATCGCCCAAAGAAAACAAAAATTTATTAAACATGTCAACTGCGTGTTTATTTAAGAAAATTGATGGACAGTATGCCTTCACGGGAAAGCATCATTGCTTGCAAAAGCGTTTTATCAGTGTTTACACAAGAATTTAGCCTTGTCGTGTGGCTTCATATGCGACCGGAAAACGAACCCCCAAAAATTGATCAGTGCTGATATATTTGGGTCTTTCGGACCGACCAAAACAAAAAATTCGCTCTAGTGCGAGCCATGTCATAATTAAAGTAACTTTACAGTACAGCGAGATCCGTATATGTAAAATAAAAAAGTCATTTTTTAAATTCACGTTGTCCTCGGCGTCGCCGTCGTGGTTACTTAAACCTTTTTGTCCTTGTGAAGGCGAGAGTCAAAGAGACTGCACGAAACTCCACAGGACGAAATCCTACGTTTACTTTTTGCGGAAACCTAAAATACCAAGTCTTGGCGATTCTATCAAGTTTCCGTCATGTTTCCGGAACGGAAATATCAAGTCGTGTTTCCGTCATATTTAAGTCAGGACGTTTAGGCTGTTGTTCGTTTCCATTATGTTTCTGCAAACGGATTTTTAATATCCCTGTTGAATCTTTGCAAAGAAAACAAACCAATAATTGTTTTGTGCGTCTTAATATTTTGACGAATTTGAAACGTTAAGAAACTGCAGTTATCAATGAAATTATCAATGTGGATTTTCAGAACAACAGTCGTGAGAAAGTTTGTATATGAATTAGCAACTCCGGCTGCTGTTACGACTTACAAAGAAATAAAATTAATATTATAACACAGCATGAAATCACAAATCGCGGATACTGAGGGAACTGAGAGGCGGCAGAAAGAAAATGGATCAGTGTACTGACTTTGCAATTATTCCGCG